TTTAAAAAAAAAAAACAAAAAACAAAAAACAAAAACAAAACAAAAATGAAAGCCAATTGTTAGAGTTTTTATTTAAATATAGACAGAAATACACCGTTACTCTCAAACTGAAGAGTTTTTTCCTCTTAAAAATGGAAAAATGAGAAATATAGAAATAATGTAATAAACTTCAGTCTGACCTTTGGGCAATTTACGGACAGTATCGATGGGCTGACTTCATATAATTGGCCCAAAAAATTAAGATCTAACATTATATGGGAACATTCCCAAATCCACGCCCTAATAAACTAAACAGATTTTCTATTAAAAAAAAAAAGTGTGTCCTGTAGGCGGACTGCAAAAACTTTTTCGAACAAAAAAAATTGCTACGGATAATAAATAAAAGAATTTTTTTAGGTAGAAATAGAAACCGCAATGCTCGAAGCATAAAACAAAAAGGAATGACCTTTAAGTTAGTCCTTCAGGTTAGTTTGCTTTCTGAAATTTGCCCTAAAACTTACTTTCGAATTATTTAAGTGCTTTGGTACCCAATTATCCTCAATTAAGATCAAGGATGTCTTTGATATCACTGTGATTCTACATTATCTTTATAACTATTAATGACAACACATTATAAAAATAAGATTATTACATAAGATATCTCAGTTGCTAAATGATTAAAAATAAATTTTCATTATTATTTTATTTATATTTTAACATTTTATTGACTCATTTTACTATTCAATGTAGTATGATTATATGGTAGAATGTTTTGTAAAATCAAATTTTTTTTTTTTTGGGCCAGAGCTAAGGTCAAAGTTTATGAAGAAAAGTTATATAATTTAACATACCATAACAAATTCACTTAAATTTTTATTTTAAATGAAATTCGATACAACAAAATTAGACAATAAAAAATATCACTTGCAAGCCTTGTATCATTGAAAATATATAGGTTGTTCCTCCTAGATCTTCCAGTAAAATAAGAAAAGCTAACATTCATGTAGATAAATTCCGATTAAGGCTTTAGTACCCATAATGAGTATTCGATTGAAAAGACAAACTAAGTTCAAGGGCTAATTGCATATCAAAAGAAGTTCAAGGACTAATTGAAGGATTAACCCAAAACAAAAACGTAGAGATTTTGGAGGAAGACAGCGACGCACTGACCACCACCGCGCCAAATTAGCTGCGGTTGCGTTTCATTACATTTGAAGCCTAAGAAACACCCCCCCCTTCCTTACTTGTCGGCAACCACATGAGAGTGTCTGTCTCCTTGTTCGATTTAGTACCTGTAAGGATAGGTCCAAGGTTCTTAACCTCGGACGTACTGTAACAATTCCTTAATAATCGAAATGAAGTTAAATCCAGTACTTTCCGATCAAATGGCTACATGATAAATATAGTGGACATGCCCACAACTGATTTATCGCACACAATTTTTCGGTCCCGAATTTACCGCCTTAAGGGACACGTTACACTCCGATTATCCTGTTAAGCAAGCCACGTGGACACCGCATGAAGGCCTATAAATACCCCCCAAGGGCCACCTCAAAAAGATAATTGAAACCAACCTAAAGCTCCTTTTTTATTAGTCTAGAGGTAGATCCAATTATTGCTGACTTAAGCATCGGAGTGTCTACCCCGAGGACCCACCTCGGGGTTTTGCAGGTTCATCCGAAGTGAAGATGCGGACTGAAGAAGGATCTCTGGTTTGGTGCAATTACATTGGCGCCGTCTGTGGGAAACCGAACTGAAAGCTCTCTTGTTGCTCTCTCATCATGGTTAACACTCGATCAGTCCGAGCTGGAAATCAATCTCAACCTCTTGGACAAGGTCAACTCCCCAACAACCTTCCACCTCACCTCCCACCTCAGATCCCAAATATGTTCCCTCCTATTGATCATGTAGAAGGAGGAGATGAAAACCAACCTCACAACTCAGCTCACAACTCAGCTTCCACCGCTAATCAAGACGTAGTTACAGCTCAGTTTGCTACCATGCAACAACAGTTTGGTGTCTTTCAATTAGTATTAGCTCAGCTCTTAGCTCGGAATAATCCTGGCGATCCCTTTATCAATTTACTCAACCCCGCTCCACAACCCCCAGCTCAATAGTAAGACCCTCAACCAGTTCAGCATGCTCCTGCTCTCAGTGAGTCTCAAGGTCAGTCTCATGTAGCCCCAGCTTAACAACCTCTACCTGATGATGTCACTCGACGTCTGGACAGCTTAGAAAAACTAGTAGCTGAACAGCGAGGTGCCCCACCTCCACACCATAATACTGACTCCCTACCTCATCCTCTGAACACCAACATCACATTGGAACCTTATCCCACTAGCTTCAAAATTCCTCAACTCGAGACATATGATGGGACGAAGGACCCCGATGATCACCTCCATGCCTTCTATTCCTATATGCAAGCTCAAAACGCCTCTGATGCGTTAATGTGTAAGATCTTTCCCTCCACTCTCTGTGGTAATGCCCGAACCTAGTATTATAGTTTGCCCCCAAGATCTATCAGCTCCTATTCAGAAATGGCATTTGCTTTTGCCACAAAGTTTTCCAACAGAAGGTTGATAACCAAAACTACTTCTGAACTGATGCGAGTCAAATACAGGGACGGAGAATCTCTGAAGAATTACATGAGCAGGTTCAATGATGCAGTTCTCGAAGTCAGCTCCTTCAACCAAGCCGTGGGAATTGCGGCTGTAATTCAAGGTCTCTAACATGAAAGATTCAGAGATAGCTTAATAAAACATCTTGCTGCTACTTTCAACGAGGTTAATGACAAATCGTTGAAATTCATAACTGCTGAGGAATATGCTTTATCCTAGAAACCAGTTCTTCCTAGAAATCAAAACCCAGATTGGAGAGATGAGGGTCAGAGCAGAAAATGGATGAAGACAGTACAGAACCGAGGTCCGATGATGACCTCCACACCAAAATTTGGAAAGCCGAACTTAGTACCTCCCCAGCAAAATATCAGTAAAACACCAGTTACATGGACACTTTTCAATCTGCCAAGGTCGTAGATATTCATGTAGATAAAAAAACAAGACGGATTTGAGGTAACCAAGGCCGATGAGAAGTTCTGCTGCTACACGTGATCATACCAGATATTGTGATTTTTATCAAGATCATGGTCATACAACGGAGCAGTGCAATAGTCTAAGGTATGAGTTGGAAAGTCTAGCTCAGAAGGGAGTGCTGAATGAATACATCCAGCGAACCAAGCAACCGAAGTTTGTTAGAGAACAAGGGACACAGCCACAGGAATCTCGTAATGCAAGAAACAAACAAGGCGTGGGATATCAACAAGCCCCACCTCCACTCCCACCACCAGCCTGAATTAGATATATGATTACGGGAGGCTTGGAAGCAGGAGGTTTGAGCTCTAAGCAGCGAAAGTTGTATGTTAGAGAGGTGAAGAATCAAAACTGAGCTAAAAAAAAAAAAGTTTGACGATGCTGACTAGAAGAATCAACCCATCACTTTCACATCTGTTGATTTCGACACAGTTGTCACACCTCACAATGATCCTCTGGTCACTTCTGTCATGATTAACAACTGTGAGGTACAATGTGTCCTTGTTGACACAAAGAGTGCATCAGACATTATGTACTTTCATTGCTTTGAGAGTCTTGGGCTGGATCCAGCTTTGTTGCAGAGGTACGATGGTCCTATCTATGGATTCAACAACCAACCTGTTCAAGTAGAAGGAGTCCTTACTCTCAATGTTGCTTTTGGGAGTGGCCGAACTTATGTTACCCCTTCAGTTCGGTTTCTAGTTGTCAAAATGGCTTCCTCTTTCAATGTTGTTATTGGTCGACCCACATTAACCGAAATCCGAGCTGTGGTCTCCCAATCTCACCTCTGCATGAAGTTCCCAACTCCCATGGGGATAGCAACACTGCGGGGTAACTAGGAGGTGGCCAGACATTGCTACATTACCTCAGAAAGGTAAAGATCAGACGCCAGAAACCATTCCCCAACAAGTTCCTAACAATCAACAAGTAATGGGTGTTGAGATAGTAGACAACCGACCAGAGGATGAAACCAGAGCTACTCCAGTCGAGGATGTCGAGGAAGTGCATATTGACGACAGAGATCTAAGCAGAAAGACACAAATTGGAACTCGGTTGAGCCCGAAGGAAAGAGCAGAGCTAATAGCTTTTCTCCGAGCTAACAACGATGTCTTTGCTTGGACTTCCGTAGACATGCTAGGAATTCCAACCTCGGTATCCCAGCATAAGTTCAGCACCAATCCATTGAAGAAACCAATAGCCCAGAAGTAACGTCTCTTTGGGGGGGAGAGGCTTCAGGTTATAAAAGAAGAGGTAGAAAAGCTCCTACAAGCTGGTTTTGTCAGAAGAGTTGATTACTACGAATGGGTGGCTAACCCAGTGTTGGTCAAAAAGACAACTGGTAAATGGCGAATGTGCATCGACTATACAAATCTTAACTAAGCTTACCCCAAGGACTGCTATCTGATACCAAGCATTGACAAACTAGTTGAAGTGGCTTCTGGAAATGAGAGATTAAGTCTCTTGGATGCATATTCTGGTTACCACCAGGTGCCGATGGCTCCGGAGGATGAAGAGAAAACCTTGTTCTATGCTGATGACGAAATTTATTGCTATGTCATGATGCCATTTGGCTTAAAGAACGAAGGTGCTACTTACTAGAAAATGGTGACCATCGTCTTTCAAGCTCAGATCGGCAGGAATCTAGAAGTTTATGTCGATGACATTGTGGTAAAGAGCCTGAACGCAGAAGACCATCTAGCTGATCTCGATGAAACATTCAACAACCTCAAAAAGAACAGAATGCGGTTAAACCCAGCCAAATGTATCTTCGGTGTGGAGTTTGGGAAATTTCTAGGCTTCATGGTTTCCCGAAGAGAGATTGAGGTCAACCGAGAAAAGATCAAAGCAATTGCCGAGATGGAACCACCGAAGTCGGTTAAAGATATACAGAGATTAACTAGAAGGGTTGCAGCTCTTCATAGATTCATATCAAAGTCAGTAGATAAGTGCCTGCCATTTTTCAAGATCATGAGGTCAGCAACCCAAAAGGACGAATCTAGTAAACAGAAGAAGTTTGAATGGAACCAAGAATGCCAAGCTGCATTCGATGAGCTGAAGTCTTATCTTAGCTCACCACCCCTACTGACTAAGGCTATAGATGGAGAAATTCTCTATTTGTACCTCGGTATTTCAGACGAAGCAAATAGTTTAGTTTTGGTGAGAGAAGAAGGCAAACACCAGAAACCAATTTATTATATCAGCAGCATGCTGCACGGAGCAGAACTGAGGTACCCTATTGTTGAGAAAACACACTAGCAATTGTCACTTCGGCCAAAAAATTGGGACCGTATTTCTAGTCACATCCAATCATAATCCTCACAGACCAACCTCTTCGACAGATCCTTTAGAAGCCAGAGTGTTCTAGAAGGTTAATTAAGTGGGCAGTAGAACTGGGGGAATTCGAGATAACATTTCAACAGAGATCTGTGATTCGAGCTCAAGCATTGGCGGATTTCATCGTGGAATGCACCCCATGTCACTCAATCCCAAACCCCAAGCCAAGCGACTGGACCTTATATGTTGATGGAGCATCTAGTAGTAAGGGTTCAGGAGCTGGTGCATTCTTAATTGGCCCAGATGGATACCGAAGTGAGCATGCTCTGAAATTTAACTTCGATGCAACAAACAACATGACTGAGTATGAAGCTGTGCTACTTGGTTTGCAACTAGCATTGGAGCTGAAAGTCATGGCGATACAAGTATACAGTGACTCGCAGCTTTTGGTTAATCAAGTCAACTCAATCTGCAAAATTGTTGATCTTGTGATGATGAAATATGTAGCCTTGGTGGCCGAGTTGAAGTGCAAATTCCAGAAATTTTGTCTAAACAAAATTTCCCAAACTGAGTTGACTTGATTAACCAAAATTCCCCAAACTGGCAGATTTCATCGTGGAATGCACCCCATGTCACTCAATCCCAAATCTCGAGCTAAGCGACTGGACCTTATATGTTGATGGAGCATCTAGTAGTAAGGGTTCAGGAGCTGGTGCTTTCTTAATTGGCCCAGATGGATACCAAAGTGAGCATGCTCTAAAATTTAACTTCGATGTAACAAACAACATGACTGAGTATGAAGCTCTACTACTTGGTTTGCAACTAGCATTGGAACTGAAAGTCATGGCGATACAAGTATACAGTGATTTACAGCTTTTGGTTAAGGTTAAACCCCCATTTTGGTCCCTCAACTATTGTACAGACCCCCGACTTAGTCCCTCAACTCAAAAAATCCCTGATTTGGTCCCTACTGTTTACCATTTTTACCCCAATTTAGTCCCTCCGTTAAAAATCCAATGATGTGTCATGTTAATTAACTGCAGCATGATGACGTGTCAAAATAACGTGCCACATCAGATGCACGCATGTAAAAAGTGATGACATGGAAAAAAATGTCAAAAAAAACTTTAAAATTTCTACTTTTTTTTTTTGTTTCTTCTCTCTCCCTTTCTTTTCCCCTTGAACCCAACGCTTACTGGGTTCTTTCGAACCTAAGAGGACGCCTGGGTTCGTTCGAACCCAGGAGGAGGACGAACCCAGGAGGACGCCTGGGTTCGACCTCTTTCTGGGTTCGAAGGAACCGAGGAAGAGGACAAACCCAGGCGTCTTCCTGGGTTCGTTCGAACCCAGGAAGACGCCTGGCTTCCTGGGTTC